TTTAGGGTTCGTGAGAGTTTAGGGTTTGTGAGGGTTTAGCGACTGCGAGGAACTAGGGCTCGCAAGCGCCTAGGGTTTGCGAGGGTCTAGGGTTTGCGAGGGCCTAGGGCCAGCAGCTTTGCGCGAGGGTTTAGGGTTTGCTAGGGTTTAGGGTTTAGGGTCTAGGGTTTGTACGGCGTTTGTCGTGGAGGCAGCGCCTGCGCTCGGGGACCTTGAGGAGAGTGTTGACTTTGAGGACTTTCGAGGTGTACATACACTCCAAATAGCGTTTTATTTCCATTTTTGAAAAACTCAAATAAACCCTCAAAGCCAATCTGCGGGTTTCCACAAACCCTCCGCTCAGGTGTACAGACACCGTTTGCCACGGAAAAAACAAGTTCCTGCGTCCACACCCAAACCCTAAACCCTAAACCCTAAACCCTAAACCCTAAACTTTGAACCCTAAACCCTGAACCCTGAACCCTGAACCCTAAACCCTAAACCCTAAACCCTGAACGCTGAACCCTAAACCCTAAACCCTAAACCCTGAACCCTAAACCCTAAACCCTAAACCCTAGATTTGAAACACTGGGTTTGAAGCCCGGAGTTCGGAGCCCGAAGCCCGGAATTCGGAGCCCGGAGCACTGAGCCCTAAACCCTAAACCCTAGATTCTGAGCCCTAAACCCTAAACCCTGGATTCTGAGCCCTAAACCCTAAACCCCAAAGTCTGAGCCCTAAACCCTAAACCCTAATTTCTGAGGCCTATGCCTTTGGCCCGATAACTGAAGCCGGAAATTTGAGGGTCTGGACTCTGGGCTGGGAGCCCGGAACCTTAAACCCTAAACCCTAAACCCTAAACCCTAGATCCTGTGCCCTAAACCCCAAGCATAAGTCTTAAGAGCCAAACCCTAAACCCTAAACCCTAATGCCTCATTCCTGAAACTGCTGCACGGCACAGAGCAAGCGGAGGCGCAGCCAGAGGACAAAAGCCAACCCTAAACCCTAAACCCTAAACCCTAAACCCTGGTCTTCAGGGTGGTGAGCAAACCTGGGGGATTTGGGAGGCGTCAAAAGGACGCGTGACAAGAAGAGGGACATCTTGACCACGGCCTGGGGTTTAGGGTTTAGGGTTTAGGGCTTAGGGTTTGCGAGGACGCGGTGTTTAGCGTCTAGGGTTTAGGGTTTGGAAGCCACGGCACTGGCCCCTCAGGGCCCTCCATCGAGCG